GCTGTTCCACGGCTCCAATTGCATCGCCATTTTATTAAATTTAATTTAAATATAATATTAATTATTAAATATATAAAAAAATAAAAATCTATTATAAATTTTTTTATTAGTGAATGTTTTACCATTACAATCATCTTCTTTCATATTATAACACATTCTATTATAGCTAATTCAAAGCCATTAACAAGTACGCTGTTCCACGGCTCCAATTGCATCGCCATTTTAGAGTCTGATGATGGTTGTCCGTAGAGCGCCGGTGGCGAATTTATGGGTGTCTGGAAGGTTAGGCCGGATAGAAGGCGATACCCAGTGGAGTTGCATATAGTAGAAACTTGGCATTTCATTCACCTCTCCAGTCCACATGCAAAAAGTGGGAAGTAGGAACAGGACGGACCACACTGAGTATCGCCTACTTCTCACTTTTTGCATGAGGGCTGGTGTTTACACCATAAATTGTAAAAATTTAAAATCATGTCACGTGTTAAAATATTTTTAATGGATAGAAAAAATTAAACCATGTAAGATTTGTTATTATGGATTTTATGATAGATTAACTGTTACATTGGTAGAAAAGGGAGATAAAGATAAGATTTTACTGTGTAATTATCTCTTTGAGTCAAAAAGATACTGTTTTAGTTGAAATTTAGGAGGAGATTGCAGTTATAGAGAGCAATTATGTGATAAAGACATAGGTGGCGAAAATCTGAAAGGAGATTTAACTAGGTCAACTATTAAACTGTCCTACTATCTCAAGAAACCACCTACAACTTTGTAACTGTAGAAAGTGGGGAGTTACTGTCGGTCAAAGGAGAACGAAAAGGAAATTTTGGAAGGGAGAAGACATGGCCAGCTCTACTCAAAACATGCAAATTTTTAGACTTTCATTTTCTCTGCAACTGCTTACAGATTTCATATTTCAGCATAATTTTCAATAGATCTAGGTTGTTTTTCATCATTCCAGTAGATAAACTAGTTTGAGTACTTGCTTCAACAATTTCGTTTTATGTAATGAAGTTCAAATTCTTAAATTTCTTCAAGGTATTGTTCCTTTTTTTACTGTAATTAATTTAATGTTTATGATAATTATCGTTTTATCAAATGTTTACTTATATGACGTTCACGCTTTTTCTCAATTTCAAGCATTTTACTTTAATAATTATTATAAAAATATTATATATCAATTTTAATTTTTTG